GGCTTTGTGAGTGTGTGAGTGTGCCGAGGCTGGTTACGTGGGATGCAGAAAGTCAAACTTTGAGTGCTGGACCACCGACCGGTCGTTGATGGGACGACAGGAAGCACTAAACACAGTGGCTAAAAATAGGAAATTTACTGCTGCATTGTTTTCGACTCGACTTGATTGGCATCTGGAAGTGGTTATAAACTTTATATACGAGTACGGATACCAGCTGGATGACACCGCCGACGATGGAAGGTCGAAGTGTAAAACTGGTGTTTGGGCAAAAGTTCCATTAATGAAGGTGGGAATGAAAAATTCATTTAATGGTTTGAAACTCGGACGTTGGACAGGTCGTAGGCATTCCACTCTGTTTGTGATGCTGAATGGGAGTGATGCATGTTTTGAAATATGTTTGAAAAATGTAAATGTGATTGACGTTTATGAACAAATTAGCCGATTCCTAAGTTTGATTCTCGCTTAACAATAACGGTAAGTAATCTGTATTGTATCATCCAATCACGCTTGTAGTCCTATAAAAGCGACTTAAAACAGTTTCAATATATAAGCGAATCTGATGGATGGTTTGGTTAAATCCGAAATTTGCACTAATGATTTGATTTTTTGTGGATTTCAAATGAAGTAATGAAATTGGGTTGTTAGCGGAATGCTTAAATAAAACAGCAAAAAAGGTAATCTTCCATTTAATTCCACTTTGGGGATTGGGATTTTCCTTATTAGAGAGTTGATTAGATTTTTCTCCTTTAGTTTACTTAAATCTTTGGTTTTAATTAGCTAGGTAGGTTCCGATTCAATACATTGTAGTTTCATTTTTATACCTGTGATCTTGACTTTTATACCTAGGGGATGAGTACTTAAGGGGGTTAGATTTTGAATAGTTCTTTAGTGGGAATGGCACTGATGAAGACTGCAAATTGTAGTCGAAATACGTATCGGTCATGGATACCAAAATTAATTAAGTGGAATTAAATGGAAGATTACCTTTTTTTGCTGTTTTATGTATTTCAAAGTTTCTATTCATTTATCGCACTTTTATCTGCTGAAATGCTTGACAACTGAACTCTCATCCGCATGCCTTAATAGATATGCAGCATACGAGAAAGGCACATGTCACCGATAAAAGATCTAGCTGCACGCTAGAAGCCTTTTGTGTTATAAGGTTATAAGGATAATAAAGGGCTACCCATCCCCTTGGCTAGTTTTTCCACCTTGCTGTTGGTGGGTGGGCTTAATTTCATGCTTTTTGGTGGAGTGTTGGAGACGGTGGGTTTGGGGCCGGCGTTGCTGGCTCATGCCTTGATATAATGGCGTCATGGGCAGGCAATAAGGATTACTAAGCTTTCCCTCTCTGATGAACCACTATATGATCTAGTCCAGCAGTGATAGTATCACACTTGTTACTCCTTTGATTGAGAGCCACGTCGTAGTACGCTTACGTATAGGCACTTCATTTTGATTTGGGATAAGTGTTTGAACTATGGCTCGGGATTTCCACTGTGACATACCCATATTTCTATTGTGTATATTGTATTGATTTCTATTGTGACATACCTATACGTATTTTTGTGGTGCGCCATAGTGGAAGCGTGTGAGCATAGTTGGAGCATATACCCTATATAATTTAAAAATCAGCTAGGAAACTTCAAAATGAAGCATTTTAGTCACATGAAGGAGTGGGTCGAACTAAGATATAATAAATAGGTATAGGCCAAAATCAAAAGTACTTGAAACACGTTTAATTTTAGATTACAAGCACAAGTGCAGGTACTTAATAAAGCTCGGGTTATGATTGATTAGGTGAATTAGAGCTTATAATAATTACTTAAATTAGACTAATGAGATACCATAATCATCAAATGAACTTAAATAAGAAACTTCAGAAAGTCTAATCACATTAAGGAGATTAACAAAAGAATTAGGATGGGGGGGGGTCCGCTTAGGGAGGCAACTAACCTTTAAAATTGTAGAATAAATCTTCTTATTTAGTCTTGAATTTAAATAAGAAAACGCAAGCAGACCAATAGCATTAAGCAGATTAACAAGGAGAGGAAAAGTTTAGGAAATAAGAAAAGGAAAGGAATGTGACAATTATTGACTTTTAAATTTTTGGAGGTATTGTATTCCCCTGAGTTTGTTGTACTCGATTACTATATTATTCTCTCAATACGCGAAATCTCTTATATATGCGGTTAAAGCATTTGAGTTAACTTATTTCTTAGTGTTCAAGTACATACATTTGTAAACAGCAGTAAATGTTAATCTATGAACTAAACCCTACGTAAAATCGATCTTTCCTGATGTGGTATTGATGCATGTTTAACTTTTCGCGGCTGTCGGAATCAATGCGCCTACGTCTACGGAGCTTACGCAGAAGTGATTCGCAATTCGGAAGAGCTTACCAAAAGTTTTTTTTTTGAGCTTATGTAGCATAGAATTTGTTCGGTGTGGTCGCTAAATTTTGAAATGATTGATACGTACGGTAAAATAACTAAATTGAAACAAAGCTCAATAGTAAAATATGTAGAATATCTAGGGAGGAAACCAAAATTAATCAACTTGCCAACATAGGCTATCACATTTATTTCGGTGGCACTCTTTAAATGATAATAAGCCTTTTTTTTTCGCTTCGGTGGTCTCGCACAGCTTTCGGAATTTGCTTGGTTTTCGTAACTTACATATTTTAGATATTTCGTTCGAAACGGATTTACTTATTCAATCGGTTTACTACGCGGATGCATCTACGCGCACACGTCACAGCATTTTTTCTATAACTATCTTGAAACAATACATACGGAATCCAGTGTTCAAGCGGCCAACATACACACTAAAAAAATCTGAATTTTACTGGTGATATAAACATCTATGCATGCAAACATTCATGTATGTAAACTTCCTTTTCACGTAAACTAGCAGCTTGCAAGAAATGTTTCAAACAAAGGTGAAAAGTTGCATACAATATATGGAATATTGCATGATATGTTTCATAAATTTACACGATTTATAATGTAAATTTGTATGATTTATGACGCTCCATTTATGTGCATCATAGTAACGGAAATTTACACTACTTTTTTTTAGCTGTATAGGCTAGTCCTTCTGCTGTATTGTCAAAGATAGAAGCGAAATTTATTCAAATGGCTCAAGTCTTGTAAACTAAGCTGTCACGCAGCTCCAGCTTGATAGGGTAGAGAACTACTTCGGCCTAATCGCCCATTTTGGGCCTATCGAGCAGGAAACTTCAAATAAATCCATGATTTCAGAGTTAACAAATCAATTATGCGATTGGTACGATACTTTAGTTAATAAGCTGAGGGACGAAGTCAATGCGAACGCGTGATATGAAGGTTTGCACCCAACATTCCCAAAAACAAAAGAAGCGCTCCGATCGACTCAATTTTTATCTTCATCCGATAGGCCGAAGTGAATTCATTGGCGTTTCAATAGCGTTTTAATGCATTAGGCCGAGTTTAGAATCCGTAGGCCGAGTTTAGCGTCAAGAAGCAGTGTTAGACTTTTGACAATATCTCAATGATTGGTTTCTCTTTATCAAATCTTACGGTACGTACGGAGAGGTAAATAAATTTGGAAGCCATCAGTAATAATAACATTCCGTTTGGTGCTAAACTGCGCTAGATTAAGAGAGACTAAGTGTGGGTTGTGCATAATAGGCCGGAAATGGGGTAGTTAACCCTACTCAATAAAAAAAAAATAAGGGTAATAAAGGGCTACCTAAATTTATATTAGTCATCCCTGCGCTTTGGTCAGAGAGCATGTAGGGCGCGTTGTGCCAATTTGGTCGTGGCACATTTCGAGTATGAGAGAGTGATTGTAGTTAGATCAAAAGTGCCTGAGAAAAATGCAAGCATTTTCGCGGATTACCCGGAGTTGCGACAGTGAAGGTATGATCACAGAAAAGCAGGCATAACATGCTTAAGATGTTCATCGAAATCGCTTTTAACGGTCAATTTAAATGTTTCTTAGCTGAAGGTACCGCTACTTGTGGCGCACATAATCAATTTCCTTGCGTTTGACGTTTACACATTACACCCATATGTTGAGTGTATTGCCCATCACAGTGTATACGACAGATATCGGTAGGGTTTACGATGATAAATGTTCAATGTGTTGTGTCTGTTTGTCTGTGATATAACATTGAGGTAACGTTAGGATAAAATCAAAACATTGAGAAATATAACGCATCACTTTCAGGAATACTTACACTTACACTTCGCAACCGATGAACCATTCTGACGGCCATATGAGTACCCAAGTAACCATTTAGTCACAGACAAATAGACGTAACTCTTTGAAAAAGTTTTTCTTGAAAACATAGTATCTCAAAACATAGGACCTCAGTAGCGACATCTTTCGGGCTTCTCGCGGAAAACAAGCTTGCTTGCTAACTCGCAAACAATATTGCATAAAAGTTCTATAGAATGTATAGAAACGTCAAAGTGATCCGATGCCAGCGGTGCAGCGAGTAGGTCGCGGAACTGATAATATTCAAATCAACCGTTAAATGCGTGAACGAAGATACACAATGAAAAGTTACGTCTGTTTGTCTGTGATTTAGTCGCAATGTAGCTTGTATTTACTTACTTTGCTTCAGTATGGAACGTTATTGACGATGAATTACGTCTATTTGTCTGCGGTGTGATTCTTCGCATTTCATTTGCCCCGTGGCAAAGCAGAAACCATTAACCAATTCATTAAACAAAGTTCACCTCAATCCATTATTGCAGGAAAAAGTTAGCACCATTTGCAACCGATCATCTAATTACATCTTAATTAATCCTTCATAATGATACCTACCTAGAATCTACCATGTTCTCATTTTTTGTTTCGAATAAAGTTGTGGTTTGTTTGAGAACGTCTCTGACCAATATATATTACAATGTTCTCAAACAAACGCAAAGCTCCACCACAATCCGATTATGTAGATTGAAGCATGTCAATGCATTTCGGAAAACGATTCATTTAAATGCAACCTACCAATGTTTCTTATGTTGCGGGTAGAGACGATCCGCTCTAATTGACTTTTTATTCATCAAAATATGTCTTGCATGAAATAGTACATAGTAACTAACACAGCATCCCGGTAATGGAATATTACATTGCAGCAGAATTGTGGCTTCCTCTCCGTCGTCGTCATCGTCGTGTAATCAGGTAAGTGCGCATTTGCTTGTGCATGTTTGAGAGGTGGTGACGAGACAAATGGAGGGAAAACCAATAAATTGACCTCAGGGTTTCTGCTTTTAAGCTTGCCTTTGTGTGATTATCATTACGATGGCAGCTGCCAGCACTCCCAGCACGAGGAACGAACCTTCGAAGATGGCGAGGAAGTTTCTCACCGCATCCAGGAGCCACTTCAGTGGAAGATTGAGGGCTTCCGCTGGCGTGGGGGCTGAGGGAACGCCAACATCCTTAAGTTTCGTTTCCAGGAATCCGTCGTCTAGGGTGTAGGCTGGGAAGTAGTCACTGACGCGTTCCCGGGTCCAAAAGGTTGTACTGTTACCTTCAAACCAGGATGTGTAGCTGAAGTGATACAGAGAAGCCCGGATGAACTTGGGAGCTTTTGATGGAATGTGATCTTCATCGAGCAGTTTAATCACTGCTGGTTCGTTTTGCAGTAGTCGTTGAACCAGTGGGTACAGCCACTTTTGAGTGTTTGGCTTGGAGTTGGAGGCGTCGTAAAATTTGAAATCAAACCGAGGGAAGTAGACCCAAGCGTATGGCATGGAGCCTTCTTGATTCCACGGTTTGTACTGGAAACCGTATTCCTTCCACGGCCCGGTGAGATCATCGGAGTATTCTAAGATAATCTCCAGTCGTTTTGGTCGCATTTTGATCAGATGCTGACCGTACTGATTAACTACGTATAAGTTGTGGAGACCCTGGTAGGGTTTCGTGAAGACCGATGTGCTAATCGCCGTGGATTCTGTCAGTCGGAAGTGCGGAACGATCGATGCAAAAAGGATGGTGAATGCTGCCAATGTCGGTAGGAAAAGCTGCCAGTTTTCTGTCATCTTGCGGATTCCATCGGCCTGTAGGGATCAGAATGGATTGTAATTTCAATCGAGATTGACAAAGAGTAAAGCTTACCACACTAGTAACACCCGCTTGCTTGGTAACGATCTTTAGTAGCTTTTGCACCATCATGCTCATGACCAGCAGTGGTGCCATTCGAAGCATCATTTGCATCATATTCAGATACTGAGAACGGTTGAAGAGCAGCTTGAAGGCAAGTTCCCCGTTCTTGTACCCAACCCCAAACACCAACCACGTTCCCACTACTACCAGGATGGATATTACCTTCACGGTCAGTGCCCCCGTTTTGTCCTCCTTCCGGGGTTCCTTCCTGGCTGGTGATCTGTCCAACTCTCGATCATCTACCAGTGTCAATAACAGCGTCAGGACGATCAAGCTTAGGAAGCCATAGTTTCCGCTACCAATGATATTCAAATGCAGAAATACCTGCCACCATAAGGCAAACATCCGAACCTTCTGGTTCGGAGCGAAGAACAACCATGAGCACACCAACTCACTCAAATAAACGTAGATCGTACTTAGCCTGTGCAACCCATCCGGTTGCTGATAAGTGTACCAACTGTACGAAGTTGGCAGAGGCATAGTTTCAAAGTGTCGCTTCAGGCCGGTAAGATCCCACCACATAGGGCACCCGCTAGCCAGCTTCACCGATCCCGATGCAAACACGAACCTAAACAGGAGCCACTTCATCAACAGTAGGGCCAGATCCTCGATGGGACCGCGAGGATCGCCGAGTTTCGATGGGGCTAGAAGGATACATAGGAATCCGGCTTCCAGTAGGAGTTCATCCGATTGCTGCCGAAAGGATTGTGAGATTTGAACCAGCGAGAAGTACAGAGTCCACAGGGCGATGAAGCTATACAGCCGACAGAGATCTTTGAAGACAAAGCCCAGGAAGGCGATTACGCATCCGGCTAAACAGAAGAGATCGATTGCAGATCCGGCGTCCAGTCCGACGATCGGTGCGAGCCGAAGAAAGTTGATACGTTCCGGTAGGGTGCCATTGGCGAGGATCCGGTTCGCTGGGAGGATTCCTGAGTTGCCATAGAGACCTGCCGAGATAAGTGAAGCAAGAAGAAAAAAAATAAATGGATTACGATCTGAGTTTCTAGATATCAATGCATATTACAAAATATAAATAAGCTTTACCTATAGCAATTCAACATAACCAGGTCAAAACGAAAAAGGGGTGTCAGAATATCAGCGCAATCGACAAAATCGATGCGACGAAGGGACTGCTAGCTTTTTATTTCTGTTGAAGTCGAATAGCTTCACAGGATTCTAGAACCTCAATCGGCGTCTACAAACAAATGTTCAATCGCTTGTCTCTCTTTCTTCCGTCACTTCATTGGTGTTTCTTTCAGGCTTCAGTAAAGCGGATGAGTGAAAGAGCGCTTGACTTTGATAGTTTCGTCTTTCATGAAACACATCAACAAAGGTTTCACGATGTATATGACAGAAAATGAAAATATCTAGATAGAGCTGGAATTAGGACGTAACAGCTTTTGTAAACAATGACTTCTATCGATGATTTCTAGGAACTCAATGCACGCCCACGCAGACCAGCATAAGCATCGGATAGAGAAAGCCTTTCCCTACCCGATGAGAATGTTGGTTTGCGTGGGCGAGCCTTGAATTTCTAAAAATCTTCGATAGAAGTCATTGTTTACAAAAGCTGTTAGGCCCTAATTCCAGTTCTATCTAGATATATGTATATTTAAAGCATTTCTCGCGTGAAAACACTTGAAGAAAATGGAACTTAACGCATATTAAACAAATTGAAAGAGTGGTGATAGAGTGTCGGTGAAAGGGATCGAAGGCCACAATTAAGTTTCGTTTCAACTCAATAATCGGCGTTACTTTCATTCAAAGCTATGAACAAAGCATCGACGAGAAAATCCACAACCAGCCGTTCGTTCTAAGCGTGCTTCTGTTTCATTTTCGTTTCGTGTAGATAGTCTTGCTAGGCTTTATTGAAATGATGCGTTGTATGAAAGAAACAAAACTCGAGTTCATATTAGAGCTTTGAAAATGTAGAGCCCCGATCCTCACATTCAAGCACAGTCAACGACCGAAGAAAATTAAACCCCACAAAGGGTACTAGCATGCTTCCCTTTAGCCACCGCATGTGTTGCTACAAGAAACTGTCTCGTCAGCGAAACGAGCGGCCAACAACCCGAACAAGCGGACGACACGATTCAAAATTAAACCGCTTTTGCCCTCCGCCATAAATGCTTTTAACATTAATGGACAACCCGGTCAGTCAGTGGTTGAATCCTATCCAAAAGGCAACCAACCCAACTTCTCGGATGAACACCACACACACACAAGACGGGAGCAAAAGAAAAGGAGCAAGGATGAGTTATTTTTACTTTTACCAGCGTTCTGGTTCTGCAGTAAATGCAGAATAAATGTAACCGAGTGGAGAAAGTAAGTCCCCTGCGGTCGTAAAAATCCATCCATCCGAAAAGGGTACCAACAAGGGTATTTTTTCAGTTGCCTAATGGCTTCAATTATGTAACAAACACTGCACATCAATAACTTCAACAACCAGAGTCTGTTCCGCTTAGCTAGCGATTGAACGTTCCGGAACGAAGATCTGAATCAAGGTTCCAACCAACTCCAACACTAATAATTACGTTACCCCACACTTTGTACCGGAACCACACTACAACACACTCACCAGCAACGCAGGGATAGTGTCTTTGTAGTTCAAGTTCATCAGCATCAGATTTAGTTGTGGATCCCTTTTCTAGTTGAAGGAAACGGTCCAAGAGGATGCTTTCAGGAAAATTATCGATTTCTAATTTAAATCGAAATGTGTGGCTGTGAACGGAAAAGAGTAGGATGGTGAAACACATTCATCTTGGATCGTTGATGAAATTATCTGTGTCGTCTTTTGAGTGGGTAGTGCGTGTGAACAATGAAGAAAGACGAAACTTTTGCGGTGTTGAGTAGGACGCTGTAGCAGAGTCTAATCTAATTTCGAATTAAAGAGTACTGGAGTGTGCACAATTTGAAGTGGAGGGATTCAGAGTAGTTTAAGTGATTCAGCGTCAAACAGGTTAAGTTTTAACGCCTTTAAACAAATCAAAGGCTTGTGTCCTATACGTATGACGTAGAACCACGCAAAATTGATGTATGTCATCCATTTTTCGGGTTGTCGTTTAAGGCGAGGGGGAGGTGTTGTTTTGCATGTATAACCTTTCCAAGTTCCTCATTTCTTCATTGTGGTAGGTGGTCACGCCATGATCCACCTTAATCCACTGACCTGCTCCTGCTTGCTGCAGGACCAAGTGCCACGCCGTCCGAAGCGGTAATGAGCAGAGGCATGACAGCATATATTTTCAGGTTCAAGGAGAACGATGTACAACCAAATGGTACTCGATCTGATTTGATAATTTTATCTCTGTTTTCATGAAATAAACGATTTTCCCTAACCCAGTCGTCATGGGTTAGGGAAAATCATTTATTTCATGAAAACAGAGATAAAATTATCATTTGTTCATTGTTTTCAAATGTTTTTTTTTTTTTTGTGTAAAATTGAAAACAAAAATTTATTTCAGCAGATTTGTAATGTAATATCCTATCGATTGACGTATTTGGATTTTATTTTCATCTATAAATGACAAAGTTACAAGCGTTCAAAACTTAACACTATTTCACCACACATATTTTTTGATTTGCACCCCAGTATAGTCGACAAAGACGTAGTTCAACGTCAAAAAAATATCTCAAGATTTTTCCTGGGAAATAAGTCAAAGTGCACAATAGGGATCGATTATGTAGCATTTTAAGGAATGACTTTAATTCTTTTCCAAAAGGCTTGAATATCTTCGATACAAACATGGGAACTCAGAAACAGAAATTTACCATCAGCAGAGAAAGGTGGAGCAAAAGTTCGACCATAGTTGAAAAAAATAAAATTTCTCAAAACTCCACGTATTTGAAATCAAACGAATTCCATACACAGGATCCCTCATTCAAGGTTTACAACTTTCTCTTACAGAACTTTTGTGAGTTTTCAGATCATTCAAAGATCGTATGCAAAATGTAAAGACAGTTTTTGAGAAGTTTTGTCACTACAAATCTTGAAATACCCCATGCTGGCATAAAGAAACATGACATGTCCATTCACTTGTCGTCGGAATTTCCAGGACACATTCCAAAATCATTCTTTTCCAAATTCGAATTGAAAACTGCTCAGAATATCCTTAGAATACTTTGTAAAATTCCGGGAAATCTTCCAAAGAATTATTTTGAACCTACCCTCACATGAAAAATCTTTTCAGAATTCCTTTGAAATTATCCACAGGATTCTGTTTAAATTCACTGTTTAGATATTTCGCATTATAATATCTTATTTTCATCACGCGGTAGAATGCATAACGGCCTCCTTTTCCTAACTAAAATAATCGTACCGAGTACTACTTTCTGGCACTTGAAAACTTGTAAAAAAGTAGTACTTTTCGGCACTCTTCTGAGTATTGCATGCTTATTTGTCTGACCAAGGTTGAGAAATTTCGTTACTTTTTTCATCAAATAAACAAATCAGAACGTTCTTTCAAACTTTCAACTTCGCGTCTACCAACTGGATTTTGTATTTCGTGCGTTCGTAAAGCACGCCCATGTGGCAGTCCGAATCGGAGTCACTGATCCTGAATTATTTATGATTTTAAACCTCGAACGATCTTGATACCTTGAAAACTTGTAACAGTCATGTTCCACCAAGTGCTATAGGTAGGCACTAGACTGATGCAAAATTTGACTTTTTCGCTCCACAGTGCTTAAATGGTTTCAAATCGGGTCCTGATTAGCCTCCCAAAGTTACAACTCATTTGGTTAGAAACAGACTTCGCACAAGCCATTTGAAGTTTACCTGTAAATTAATATGGGAAATCTCAACTTTTTGTTCATTGCCTTCTAGTCTTTTTCCATATTGAGCTGCGAAACAGTTCGATAGCCATTCTTATAGAAAATTTTCTCAGCTACAACTTTACTGAAGCTTGTTTCTATGTAAAACAAAACAGGAAAAAGTTATTAATTCTTTAAGAGATTGGTAAACTTATGACATGATCAAGCAGCTGCTCTGTAGGCAACACTGTATTTTGCAGTGTGACATAGTAGCCATGATTTTTATGTCCTATTCAACGCCCCAGAAACACCAATGTTGCCTGCTGAGCAGTTGATTGAGCATGATCATAAGCAAGGAATCAAAAATATCTCCAAATGACAAAATAACAAGCGATCAACGAACCGAATAATAACGCTATGTCAGAAGTTGAAAACAATAATGATATAATCTTCACCGTTCTTTTTCATGACAAGCAGCTCGTGCGACCCGATTCATTCGGGGCGGTAGAAGGAAACGAGCAAATTGTTGGCAAGCTGCTTCACGAAGTAAAGCCGAAGATGATACACGTGTGTTAATGGGAATTTTTTTGTTATGTCTTTTCCCGATTCATATCAAGCTATGTCCTCATCCGTGTATATTGCAACAAAGCAGGCAAGCAATATATCATTATCCTTCTACCACTCGGATCGAGCTTTGTTACAGAGCGAGTTTGTCATGGTAGTCGTAGCAACCGTTTTGTCTGTATCGTTGGTTGCTTTATGTGTTTGGATTCGCTGATCATAAGACATCAGCGCATTGAACCATTGATAACTTTCGATCCTTGCATTTAATCAAAAAGTGGTCTTGAGCAATGTTGTAGCTGGGAAAAGATCCTACAAGTACAGTTGAAAGCTTTTGAAGCAGACCGATATGGTGAATTATTGATAGACATGAATAAAAATCTTGGTTTTACCAAAGTAATTCCCATACAAACTTCAAATGGTTTGTGCCATCTCAGTTTCTCACCAAATGGGTTCAAATTTTGAGAGGTTAGTCAGGATCCGATTTGAAATCGTTTAAGTATTGTGGAGCAAAAATTTCAAATTTTGCATCACTCTAGTAGGCACTCTACACACTTATTTTGTACCAACAATTACGTCTTTTGGCAACATATTGGGGTGCAATCTCAAAAAATCAAAATCGACCGCGTTACCAAAA